GGCGCGTGACCCCGTCCCGGTCCCCGGCCCGCGCAGCTGGGCTCCCGGCTGTCCCGGGTCGCCCGCTTGCCCACACTGCGGCGCGCGCTTGGGCGCACAGCCTGACTTTGCGAGATCCCGGGAAGTTGAACCCGCCGCCATCTGGCGAAGGCGAATGTAATGTGACTTGCTGGTGTGAATACCCGATGCCACCAAACGTCCTCTTATCTGGGGGTTATTTTAATTTGGGATTCCTCCCTCCCCCAGCCGTCCCTCCTCCCCCTCCCGCTCCCTAAATAAAAACGACGGGACCCAGAAAGGGAGGCTGCCCCCCCGGCCCACCCGCGCGCACCCACGGTTCCTGCGTTGCCATAATTTTTAGTGGAGCAGCAGCAGCCTGGACACACACTGCGACGTTTAGGTAAAGGTGCTTTGAAGGAAAGGGACCCTTGTTCGGTTTGCTTTTTCCTGTCCCCTCCATCTCATATTGGCTGAGCCTGTCCTTGGGTGTGTTGGTGTGCACCTAGTCTGCGTGTTGTCAATACCATTTGACTGTGTTTTGTCCCCTGAGTGCATAGCGGGGGCGTGCACAAGCAAGCTGGGCCAAACGTTGGGCGGGGGCATGGCTGCATTTGCCTGAATGCATTGCAGACATTCCGGTGGCTCACTAGTTGTTGCCAGACCTGACCGTTCTACCTGATGCTTCCCACCTTAAGAATCTTCCACATCACTAATCTTTAGTAAGGGGTGAAGGAGAAGTGTGAGACCTCACTGTGCTCAGTCCAGGAGATAGGGCAGAGATCTGTTGGGTGCGTACTCGCACTGCTGTACTGTCAGGAGGAGTCCTCGGTACCCTTTCACCTGCTGGGCTCCATTCGAAGGTCCCAGCATGGTGTGTTGGAAGCTGAGTAGAATTACGGAGGAGGAGGAGTTCTGATTGGATCCAAGCTGTAAACTCTGGACCAGAAAATGTTTTTGTCCCCTGGAAGGTCTAAATGACGAAACTTACCCTTCCAGCTAGCTGGGTGCAAAGATTCATTAGTTCAACCAGTCCACTTTAAAGAGTGCTGTCAAATGTCCAAACAAGACTGTAGGACTGGAGAAGCTGACTGTGAAACCTTTGGAACCCAGTTGGAACCTTCGCGGTTGAGCGTGGTGGGATCGAGTGGAGTCCATGGGTGGAGAGTGCCTCAGAGGGTGGATGTCCTTCCCATGCTTGCTGTGGCCGCTCAGGGCGCAGAGGAGTGCTTCATTGTGTGATGAAATGCTGAGTCTGTGGAGGATAAATATTTGAGCGCGGCCAACCTAAAAAGGGCTCTAGCTTGTGTTCACATAGGACATCCAGAGCACAGCAGTGATTTGTTATAAGGTGAGGTGAGAATAGACTGAAAACCTTTCCAAGTAAACTTCATGGGAGAGTTAAACAAACAAACAAAAAAAGTTCCTCGCCGGGCTTCCATTTTCTTTTATTGTTGTGATTTATATAGTGTTGACTGTAAACACTAATAAACACACACAACTGCTTACATAAAATCCCTTCTTGAAACAGGTGTGAAATGTGGAGGGGGTGCCACAAGGGGACAGGCTAAGAGAAGGTGTGAAGTGGGAGAGGCGAGGTGGGACTCCAGTGCCCGCAGTGGAGGCTACTCTGTTTTACTGGTGTGGGGGGCCTCTCGCCCTGGAGTTTAGTTAACTCTTGGAGATCTCCCGCACCCCTATCCCTCCAAGCTTATTCGGTCTAGCTGGCCCAACCTTTCTTCCCCTTGTCTAACCGTCTCCCGCCACAGCACTCCCGGATGCCCAGGGTCATCTTGGTTCGTCTGGAATTGGGTGTTCCTTCGGATCGTAGTATACTAGCCTTCCATTTTGGAAAATTCAGCTGTTGGTGTTGTTCTATTTTGATTCCATGTCTGCCAAGGATCCCTTTGATACAAGCGCTTTAATGAACAACTTGACTTCTAACTTCTACCTCGAGTCCACGACCCGGGGGGGGAGGGGAGAATGAAGCCAGTTTCTGAGTTGGAAGCAGGCAGAATCTTTGCCTCTCTCCTGACTGTTCTGTAACAAAAGTCTACCTCTCAGCTGAAGGCAGATCTTTTATTCTTACGGACAGTGTCAAAGTTCTTCCCGGTTTCATTTTATTTTAAGGAGCAGAACTTAATAATTAACCACAAGTTGGTTCATTTGAATCCAGGGCCAGTAGCCTCCTAAGTAGTGCTAATTGCATTACATTTTTATTCAGAGGCTCCTCATTTTTAGCATAACAAAAATCTCCCCTGAATGAGTGGACTAAGACCAAATTCATTTCTTTGCAAGGGTGTTAGGAGGTTTTAATTGTGCTCAGTCGTCTGACTTTTTCCTCCAGTGAAACTATTTCCACACCTCAATCCAGTTAGCAAAATACATTCTTTCATTCACAAGAAGGGCAGTGCATGCAAGCTAGGCATGGATTTAGGACTTTGAAGTTTACAACCAAGGAAAAGTGTGTTGGGGGGGGGGTGCACAGAACCCCTCTTGAACTGATGCTCCATTATCAGCCGTCACCTTTACTGCCTCACGCACAACTTCAGTTCCCCCTCCGCTCAGCCCTCTGAAAAGAAAAAACAAAGACATGTATTCCTGGTCAAGTGCATTTTTGTGCAATTTTTGTCCTTTTTTGTGAGAATGACAGATTTCTTTCGTTTCCAAATATTCCTAACGATTTTCTGCTCAAGTGTAAGATAATGCAAAGGGTTTTTAGAAAGAGCGGTGAGTAGGGGGTGGGTGAAGGCGGTGTGATAAATGGTTTGTTGCTCACGGGAGGGTAAAATATTTATGTTCTCCAAGCCCAGATTCTCCATACCTTCCCTCCTTAACTTTTCCTTCTTCTTTTTCTTTTCCTTCTTCTCTTTCTTCTGTTTTTTTTTTGTTTGTTTGTTTGTTTTTCAAGGAAAGTCTGGTTTGGACGACCTTGTCTCCCAGGTTTCAAGGCTCTTCCTGTGGACCAAGTTTTCCTGTTTGGTGTTTGTTCAAAGGAGAGCTCACCCCACCCCCACCCCACCCGCGTCACTTTTGCAGTAACCGTACTAGGCACTCACCACTTTCTAATATAAATAACCAGGTGGCTTTAGAAGGGTATCTATTTGGGAAACGCCTGCTGTGGTCCCATTAAATTTTCGTGGGGTGCCTGGACTTCGGTTTTCACAGTGTGTCCTCCTCTCGGGTTGCCAGGGTCCTGCAGTCCTTACTGACACACATTTTCAATTAAAGGGGGTGGTACAGGGAGGGTCTCCAAGTGCGCCAGCGCATCTTTCCTGAGTTTTGTTTTTGTTTTTCTGTAACTCTGGCTCGCCTTCCTTTTTTTTTTCCTTCCTTGACCCAGCCCCTCTTTCCCTTTGAGCCCGCTGCCCTTGAACTTGTATCTTGAGGAGAGGAAGGCTCACACAACTTCAAATAAAGCCCAGGTAAGGACTGAGGTGCTTCCGAGGCAGCGGCGGGTCTCCACCACCGCAGCAGGAACGCACTGCTAGAGTGAAAGGGATCCCAGCGCCATGGGCCAGGATACGCTGGAGAGGGCACGGGGACCAGAAGACGGACTATAGACAATAGTTGGAACTGCTACCCGCCCGATGCGGATTGGTTAGAAGAGGGACAAGGCTGAGGTGGCAAATCGAGGTGCAATGCGGATCATGGTCATGAGCTGGCTAGTTTTGCTCTGCGTGGCTTTCCTGGGACTCGGACCCAAGGGGTCCGGAAACCTGGGACATGGGGTCGTTGATGTCTCTCCTAGTGGTGGCGATGGAAAGAAAGGTCGTTGTTCCCAGCAGAAATCCTCCCTAAAGCGCCCCAGTGTGGTGCATGACTTTCTGGGCAGGGCGCCTCAGGGCAGATGCCAGCGGAAAGAGGCTCGGGCCTGCGGGTCAGCGCCACCTCTCTAGTGCTTGCTGGAGCTGAGCGCCACAGTGACCGCTGTGGTGTTTCCAGCGCAAGCCCCTACTGGCCATCAGCAACCAGTCCAGCTAAAGCCCATCCAAACTTGGCCCCAGCTGCTCCGCTCCGCCAGTGTGTCCTGCTAGGTTTCCACCTTTTCCAGAGGGGAAAGACAAATTGCCCCGAGACAGGAGGGATTTGCACCTCTGTCCTGAGGATCCTTCCCACCCCACCCACTGGGCCGCAGCACTTACTGCCCGACAGCCTCTCCCAGCGCTATAATCAGGGCTCCGCTGAGGGGAATCAGCCCTTGTGGGCTTTGAGATGCCAAAGGAGGACAGCCTGGAGGAGAAGGAAAGTTAACCACGAGTAGAGGATGTCCTGGCAGTTGATCCCTGTTCCCCTGCCTTAAGATCACTTCCAACCTGGCGGCTGGCCTTCTCTCCTGGAGTTGGCTTTTCCAATGGATGAAGGGCAGTGAGATGTCCTGCTGCTGGCTCTAGTGGCCTGATTCTGGGAAGTCTAGCATCAAGATCTAGGGAGCTAGCCCAATTCAGAAGAAAGAGTAGGGCTGGAGAACTGTGTAAATTTAAAGAGAAAACGATACAACGCAGACTTCCAACCCCTTTTCCAAAAATAAAAAATAAAAAAATAGAATATTGGCATTTTGATATTGAAAAAAAAATGAACAAAACTGATTTCCTCTCTGTTCATTATTGGGCTTTATCTCTGAGTACAGAAAGCAGAATTTAGAGAATTGGGGCCATGGTAAGCTGACTGCGGAGAGTACCTTGGTGGAAGAAACTTTCCAGCCTTCTTATTTCCACAGCCTAGAAAGATCTCTCTTTAAGGCAGAATATTGTGAGGAACTGTTTGGAAGTCCAGGGCATTGTCTAGAGAACAGTGAGAATGTGCCCCTACACAGGACAGTTTGGGTTCATAAATTAAAAGAGAATTCTTTTTATTTTTCTCTTGCCATCTTTTTCGCTTTCTTACGGGAGGAAATGACAATTTGGGGGTCCTTGTGTGTTCGAGTTCCCGCATGACATTCTCAGAAGATGGCTGCCACTACCCCCATGGAGATATTTTTGCTATGAGGTATACTGGGCTACAAAGAAAAGCTGGTAAAATTCTGGCCTCACAGTTAAACGTGAGCCTGGATACAAAACCGAAACCAGTCATCTGCTATTAATCAGGCTGTGTCTCTGCTTTTTGTTGAGGAAAATACAGTGAGGGCTTGCTTCCCTTTTCATCTGAAAAGGCTATAAAATGCCGATTGCTGCATAAAAATCATTCTCCCCAGTTTCTGTTCAATTAATCAAAATGTACATGTTCATGCTGGGCATGGTTACATCAGAGAGAACATTTGCTTCGGCGTTTCAAACCACCAGGGCAGTAACATGTCACAGGAATGACCTTGCATGTTCATCAATCTTTAATAATATCATTGTCATTATTATTATTATCTAAAGTGTTAAATTGTTGCCAGAATCAATACGAGTGGGCTTCTCTGCGTGTATTTTATCCTGCCGTTGCTACCGTTGTTTTTTAACATCTCTGTTAAGAGACCAATTAATTTCCAGCTCAGAGCTCCAGTGAACTTTGTGTATGGTGAGGACTTCCTGGCTTTTTTCTTTCTTTCTTTCTTGTTTTGCCTTGTGAGTGAGGACAGAAGTAAGCTGCACAGGAAATACAAATACATCACTCGCTGATTAAAATAATATAAAATTATTTTTCATAAAACTATGAAAGAAAATCTACCCAAACTCAAGTTAATACATGTCCAAATTCTTTTTTTTTTCAGCTAAGCAGCAGGAATTATTCTCCTGAATTCTGTCAAGTCCCACAGTTTAGGAGCCCTTTCACATTCCCTGGGGTTGGAAAGGTCTTTCCCCTAAGCAGACTATGAAGGTCTTTAACAAAAGAGAGAATCTTGATACATCTGTTTGTTTTCTCCTAGATTCGTTGGTATTAATGCATCTGACATCAACTATTCTGCTGGACGCTATGACCCATCCGTGAAGCCCCCCTTTGACATAGGTTTTGAAGGGATTGGTGAGGTGGTAGCCTTAGGCCTCTCTGCTAGTGCTAAATACACAGTGGGCCAGGCTGTGGCTTATATGGCTCCTGGTTCTTTTGCTGAGTATACAGTGGTACCAGCCAGCGTTGCCACTCCGGTGCCTTCAGTAAAACCTGAGTATCTCACTCTGCTGGTTAGTGGCACCACTGCATACATTAGCCTGAAAGAACTTGGAGAGCTGTCAGAAGGGAAGAAGGTTTTGGTTACAGCAGCCGCCGGGGGGACAGGACAGTTTGCTGTCCAACTTTCAAAGATAGCCAAGTGTCATGTCATTGGAACCTGCTCCTCGGAGGAAAAGTTAGCTTTTCTGAAATCCATTGGGTGTGATCGCCCCATCAACTACAAAGCAGAGCCGGTGGCCACAGTTCTGAAGCGGGAGTACCCTGAAGGTGTCAATGTAGTCTACGAGTCTGTTGGGGGAGCCATGTTTGACCTGGCTGTGGATGCCTTAGCCATCAAAGGTCGTTTGATGGTGATTGGGTTTATCTCTGGCTACCAAAGCCCTGCGGGTCTTTCACCAGTAAAAGCAGGAGCTCTACCTGCGAAGCTCCTGAGGAAGTCTGCCAGTCTCCAGGGGTTCTTTCTGAACCACTATTTATCCAAGTACCAGGCCGCCATGGAACACCTGCTGGAACTGTACGCTCGTGGGGAACTGGTCTGTGAGGTGGACCTTGGACATCTAGCTCCAGAGGGAAGGTTCCTTGGCTTGGACTCCATATTCCGGGCTGTTGACTATATGTACACGGGGAAAAATATTGGAAAACTTGTGGTTGAATTGCCTCACCGTGTCAGCAGCAAACTGTGACAACAGAACAGTGACGTAAACCAGAGGAGAAAGAAAGAGTTCTCCGTGCCTTAGAATGAACATAATAGTTCCTAAAACACAAGTGTAGTGTTAATGAATTCAACTCCCCCCTTTCCTTGGGGGTAAAAATAATGCACCTCAATAAAAGTTCTCTCTCTAGCTAAGAGGTAAAACGTTTACATTCGATTTTTAGTCATGGATGGTCCCAGTCCAGGTTTTATTGTTCCAGGGAAGTAAATTAATTCCTGATGTGAGACCTGATCGAGTCAGTATGTCCCCTGCTTGATGAGATTTTTAAATCAGTCTTCAAACCGCTCACCAAGTCTCTTTTGCTGGAAGCGGCTGCTCTTGTGTTAATAAGTCCTTCCCAGGTGAGCAGGTAGTGCCGATCAGGTCTGCTCACGGTCCATGCGCTTAGCAAGGAGCCCCAACTATGTCAGTAGACATTTGGGGGAGAACTGTCCACATTTGATCCTGTTTAGTTATTGGGAGAGTGATTCGGCAAACAGAGATGTGTGGGTGATGGATCGACTCATTGGTGGCTTGAATTCACAGCCTCTTAAGGTTGTGAAGAAAATGTTCCTGTTCCAGAAAGAAATTACTATTAGGAACAGAGTGGATTTTGGGAAAGCAAGCTATGGTTTAGAGGACTTTGGGAGAGCTAATGTGTGCAAAGGAAGGAGAAGATCCTATGCCACCTCCTCAGGAAAGGCTCTCGTCATGTAATAGCAGGGGTCACAGAAGGGGGCTCATTCTAGCATGTTCAAGGTTAAAAACAGCTTACTAAAGTGCAAATATCACATAGTTCCAAACACAGGAGACTTCTTCCTAAATCAAAACCGTTTGCTGCTCCTCAGAGGCATGGTGCGGAAGGCTTGATGTGGGGTGGTGGAGCAGAATGGCAGTCAGGTATCCTGTGTTCTCACGTTGCTTCTCAGCGTTAGAGAGAAAGGAGTCACCTGCTCTAGGGTTGTGTTCTGGTGCAGTCCTGTCTGTCAGCCTGAGAGCTGCTTCTCTTCCAACGGCACCGGAGCGTGCCCTTCACCTTCCGTGTCCAAAGGCTGCCTGCCATTTTTTGTCATGGGATCAAAACCCCACAGTGCCTTACCGTTTGAAGGCGAAGCCTGTGGGGTGATTTTAAGTCCTGGGTTTCAGTAACATCAAACGAGCTTAAAAAACGGGAATGCAATTAAGAGAGCTCTGTGAACGTTGGGGGCAAGATTGACTTCTTCGCTTGCATCCGAGGGGCAGAGAGATCCTGGTTTCCGAGTAGCTGTTAGTATCTGTTTTACAAGATTTACTCATTTCCAGGTACCTAATGTAGCTGCTAGCATGCATGCACAACAATACAATTTATATGGTAAATGGAACCAAATAATGGCTTCACTGAATGTTATGGCCGCACTGAAGGGAAATGTCACGGTAAATAGCTGCCAAATTATGGATCACGCTGCAGTGTCACCACTGCACTGAAGACAGATAGCACCAGGGGCTGTGCCACTGTGACGCCTTTGAGTTATGAAGAAGGGTAGCAGCCTGACGCGGGGCTCTTTGTGTCCTCGTCATCACAGACGGCTGCCGGTGCAGGGGACACGAGAGGCAGGCGCGCCCAATGTGGTGCGCAGTTATTAATCTGTCCCTTTCAGACCCGGCCACTGTAGCAGGGGAGACTCTGCTGGCTCTCCCGGACACAAACATAACAGACGAGGAGGGAGGGCAGGCTCTGTGAATGTTAGTGTGCTCAGGAAATGACTGGTAATGGAAAAACGTCGTAATAAAATAATCTAATCAAAGACTGTTATTAAATTTAACCTAGTATATGTCTGAAAGGCCCAGTTGCTTCCTATGCAGATAGATGTGTGAAATCTCGGTGATAACGCACTCTCCCTCTGAAAAGGCTTTAAGGACTGAGGACATTACCAACGAAATTGCCTCTTCTCAACTGAAGTGAGTCCAGGCTTCCTTCATTTTAATGGGAGGGTAATAAAGATGAAAGACCAACATTTTATCTGATGGATCCCGTAAGCTATAGAATAAAAAAGTATTATGTTTTGGGAAAATATACTAAATTCAGCTATGTAAAAGTAAAATTCAAACACTCAGGTTTAAAATAAAACAACATTTAAAAAAAGAAAAAAAAGCAGAAGAAACCTCATGTCTTTCTGTCCCCAGACAGAGAAACTATGATGCATGCTGTTTTCATTTTTTCTTAGAAAACAAGCATGAATGATTCTGCCCATTCCAATAATCCCTAAAATATGTTTTAAAGTTTTTAAAAATTATCTTGAAAAAATGATTTTTAAATTTACGGTTATACTTGAGTATCAGTTGGGTCCCCTTGGGTTGCTGTTGAGGTCTAGTCACTTGCAGGAGGGGAGGTAGCCATAGCATCAGGGTCCACACTCTACCACGTTCCAGATCACAAGAAGTGCGTTCATAATTCAGGGCCATTGTCAGCTGTGCTCCGGAGAAGGGGCGAGGGCAGAGCAGTGACGTGGGATAAATGAATTCTCAGTTCTTGGTGTGGCCTTCCAGCTCCTCGGTATAAGGTTGTTGACCCAGCACGGAAGAAGGCATTGCCTTGTGAGAAGACAGCTGCAGGATGCCTCGGTGTTTGGTTCAGGACTTCTGAAAAGTCGACTTCTTTTCCTTCAAACCTTCAAATCTGTTTCGAATGCACAAAGGCAGAGACAATATAATTTCTGGTTCTTTTCACAATGATTACAGATGCTGATTAATTTTAGCATGTGCACGTGCGTGCGCGCACGCGTGCGCACGCACGCGCACACACACACACACACACACACACACACACACACACACACACACACACAATCCAGAAACTGGTTTGCAAAGTAAGATGAGTTCTATGTGTTGTCACTGGGTGACTGCACCAGAATGGAGTTTATCAGGAAAGGAATACAGCCTCTGCCCATGGCCGTTCGTGTTTCCTGAAGTATTCATCTAACGCAAGTGTGTGAGACGTAGCTGCAGCTTATTAAAGTGAAAACCCTGAACGCTGTATGGAGGGATGCTATGGCTAATGAGGCTATAATGTCCCAGTACCACAAAACCCTTTTTGTGCCCCCACCACAAGATGCTGGAAACTTGACAGATGATACCATTTAAGACACTGCCTGCCTTGGGGACCTGCTTCTTGGCTTCCTGTTTTGGGCTTTTATTTGGGTAACATTTATAATAGCCACCTGACTTGTACCTGTAATGTCTTAACCCCTTGTGGAATGCACAGGCTGTGTAAATTTACCAATCAAGTTCCCTGCAAAATGGAGCTTTGTTCAAGGCCCAGAATACTTTCCTTGATGACTTTGCCACACGTGCACATGGGGTAAATACCATACTTCAGACCCCATAAAGTCAGACCAGCAACGTGCAGTTTCCAGAATACATTTGATAAGACCTAGGACTGTGCACTTGGAATGCTAATTTCCTGAGTTTTACAAATTTTATGGGCTGCTCAATGCAAAATGGCCTGATCTGATGAATTTATACTTATCTTTATTTCCCTACTCTTAAAAATATTTTGTTACTTATAATATTCATTTCAAAGTATATATGCGAACTGTTTTTCAGTTTGGGGTTTTGCTTTGTTGTTTCGTTTGAGGACTTTGGGGCTATTTGGGGCGTTATTTGGACAACTTCTGCAGCTAACTCACAGTGACCTAGAACCTCGCATTTAAGATCACAGCACAGAAGTCAGAGTGCAAGGGCTTGAGTGTCAACAGCGCAGCATTGCTATGAACTTGAACTTCTGTTTCCTCTAGCCTTTTAATGCCACACTGTATCAACTCAGAAGGAGGAATGTTCACTGTGAGAACCTTGCTACTGTTACCGTGAGCAGTCCAGGAGAGTTTGCTGCCATCCCTGCCCCCTAAAAAAACATAATTCACAATGCAAAACAATGTCTTACCAGTATATGTCAGTACAAGAAGTTCTTGTAGTAAAGACCTGGTATGAGAGGGAGGGAGGGAGGGAGGGAGAGAGAGAGAGAGAGAGAGAGTCAAGTAAGGTGCATATTTTGATTATATAAGCCTGAAACTTCTGTTTAATTCTTCTCTTTGATCCTACAGCCAGTGAGGCATGCCTGGCATAAGTACTAGGCAATGTTTATTTGGATATGCTGGCTTTGCCCTTTGTAGACGTTCCCTTCTGTGCAGGTCCCTCATCCCAGGAGGCACAGATGAACGGAGGAAACATAGCATGGGTCCCACAAGCAGTAGGGTAAGTGCCGTACAGAGGACGGTTTGGGGGAAAACCAATATGTTCTTCATGTGTGCTGAGAAGCCCTGAGCCAGAAGTCTGGAGATCTGAATAGCCCCCCAAAGGAAGTGCTTCCCTCAAAGTGTCTTTCTGCCAACACAAAATTAAAATAATAATTAGAACATGCCCTGCTGCTGGGTGGCAGCATCCAGCACAAAAGACAAATCTGTGCTAAGGGCTCTGAAGAGAATCTGGTGACATTGCCTACTGAAGTGGTGCCCACCCTCTAAACACACGAAGCAGTCAGGGTCAGAATGATTGCTATCAGCATTTCCTTTGGTCACTGGAAGGTACAGAAATACGGAAGGGATACAGGATGTCCCACTCGAAAGCACCTGATGTAGGACCCTGTATGCCAACCCCAAGCATTTCTTGCAGGCTCACAGGTGCCACTTCCAGCAGAAACACAGATTTGGAAAGTGTATCTTTCCCTGGCTTTTACAAATAAGACCAAATGTAACTTGGTAACACTAGAGTTTGAAAGATAATCTAGCTCTACCCACTTTACAAGTGTAGAGTTGGGCTTAGGAAGAATGGACATTTTGTCCAATCAACGTCAGAGTCCCAGTGGTCTCAAAAGATGGAACGCTGGTGGATCCCCTCCCAGACTCTCGGGAGAGTTCTGCACAGTCCCCTTTGCACTGCCCAAGGTCCTTCAGCGTATGACTGGCAGGTGTTTTAGAACCATGGCTGGACTTCGTGAAGAACTGTCACATGAATGGGACTGAGGCAAACCCAGGGAAAGTAACATGTTTAGACTTTGGTAGAGTTGGGGCTCTATCCACTTGGTTTAACATCTAAACATTCTACTAGAGCTGAAGAAATAGCTCAGCAAGCAAAGGACTGGCCTTGCAAACTGGAGACCCGAGTTTAATCTCCAGAACAT